CCTTCCAACCCAAACCATTCTATGATTTCTATGACAGAATATTTTTTTAAAGAAAACCTGTACCTTCTGACACGTTTTTGCTGTCGGACTTCTTAAGGTGATTTTTCACCAGAAACATTTCATTGCTCTTTTTGATTGCTTTTCTCTTCATAAGTACTTAATCCCAGAATCACAGATTGGTAGGGGTTGGAAGGCACCTCTGGAGATCATCTAGTCCAGCTCTCCTTCTAAAGCAGGATCACCTAGAGCAGGTTGCACAGGATTGTGTTGCAGTATTATTCAGTTTGATTCATGTAATGTTGCTTTTTCCTTGACAGGTATTTGGAATGGAGTTAGTTGGTTGCTTGTTTTCTCGAAACTGGAATATACGAGAGATGGCACTAAGACGTCTTTCCCATGATGTTAGTGGTGCTCTGCTACTGGCTAATGGTGAAAGTACTGGGAATTCTGGAAGTAGCAATGGAAACAACGCAAGTGCTGGAGCGCTAGGAGCAGCTAGTGGGTCATCTCAGACCAGCATCTCAGGAGATGTGGTGGTGGAATCTTGCTGCAGTGTGCTGTCCATGGTCTGTGCTGACCCTGTCTACAAAGTGTATGTTGCTGCTTTAGTAAGTAGCTGTTTACTTGTATTCTAGTAATTTCGAAATGACTTCATTTTTGAAGGGGAGGAAGAGGGAGGAGATACATGAAGTCAGGAATCCTAGTAATCGTTGTTGAGCACCATTGGTGACTTAACTTTTAACCATCATCTGAAAGTGAGATGAACAAAATCCTCATCAAGAGTGAAATGTCATGACTCCACTGGCCAAATATAAGGAAATGCTTGCTACAGTGTAATGTATTAACAGTACTTGTATGACTAGGTTCTTTCCAACCTCAAAGAATACATGACTAACTCTAACAGTGAATATGTAGTAAACTCTTTATCCTTTGAACATTTCACTGATATTTTGAATGCAATTTATATGAAACTATTTACAACTCTTAAGAAAAAAATGTGTAGCTAATTTGATTTCATATGTATTGCTTTTTTCCTTTCTCTTAGAAAACTTTAAGAGCCATGCTGGTATATACACCCTGTCATACTTTGGCAGAGAGGACTAAACTACAGCGACTTCTCAAGCCAGTTGTAGAGACAATATTAGTTAAATGTGCAGATGCCAACAGGTATGATGTCTTATGAAATTCAAATTAATTTTGGATTGTTACTGAAATTTCTTGAAGCTTCATTTCACAGAATCACAGAATGGTGGGGTTTGGAGGGAACCTCTGAAGATCATCTAGTCCAACCCCCCTGCTAAAGCAGGATCACCTAGAGCAGGTTGCACAGGATTGCATCCAGGCAGGTTTTGAGTATCTCCAGAGAAGGAGACTCCACAGCCTCTCTGGGCAGCCTGTTCCACTGCTCGGTCACCCTCAGAGTGAAGAAGTTTTTCTTCATATTGAGATGGAACTTCCTGGGTTCCAGTTTGTGCCCATTGCCCCTTGTCCTCTCAGTGGGCACCATTGACAAGAGCCTGGCCCCTCCCTCTAGACATCCACCCTTTAGATATTTATAAGCGTTGATGAGATCCCCTCTCAGTCTTCTCTTCTCCAGACTAAACAGACCCAGCTCTCTCAGCCTTTTCTCATCTGAGAGATGCTCCAGTCCCCTAATCATCTCTGTAGCCCTCTGCTAGACTCTATCCAGTAGTTTCTTGTCTTTGTTGCTGGTATTTGTTGCTATTTATGTGCAACTAGGAGACCATTTTTAGTTGGTGGTGAAATAAAATGTGTGGATTGTGTCAGTGTATCATATTTTTTTTAGTCTAATTGCTACGAACAAACTTCTGTCTTGAAAGATGTAGGTTTTGGAGACACCTGATTGTATTTTTCCAGGACTTAGAGATCTTAAATGATATTTTGCTTTCATAAGGCCTTTTTTCCTCCCCTTAAAAATAAAGGAAGATGTTAGGTGCAGTCATCATCCCCTCTATCTCAGTTGATACTGTTTTGGTCTAATTCTCATGACTCATCTTTAAGCAATCACCAAGTCCCCTTCAGCAAGTACCAATCACATGTGTTTCCTGCTTCGGCAAAATCTGTTGTATATCTGTGCCCTGAAGTGTTAACCTAACACTGCTATTTTTTATTTTGTAGTGTAATGTTAGGAGATGGCTATTCTGAGTGAATACCCTTGGCATTTCTGGCTTGTGTAGGCCTTGTCTTCCTGTCCCAAGCTACCCTGTTTGTTCTGCCAGACCAACCATTTCTTCCCGTGTACTGTAAACAAGGGGCAGAAGTCCACCAGCTTGATTTTTGTTTCTTTAGGTTTAGTTCTTAAGCAGCATTGCTTCTGAAGTGGCAGCTGGAGATGGCCTGGCAATAGTCTAGCAATACAACATCTAAAGTTAAAGGTATAAGTGAGATAAAACTGTTCCTTGTGTCGCTGGATTCGGCCTGTTTTTGCAAGAGGATGAGGCCCTATTTGGGGTTTTATGTATTTATTAGTGATACACATTACACTTCTGGAAGTATCCTTGTAAAAAATGTCAGAACTATTGGTAGCTTACAGATAGAGGATTATAGAAATGTATTGGAATAAAGTGATGTGAAATAATTTTCCATGCACAATTCCAAGCTAGTGATTATTGAAATGTAATGATTAGACTGTTTTTTCCTTGAAAGCATCTGCTGAAAGAGTGATATTTTGGTTTTAATTTCTTACAGTCGAACAAGTCAACTTTCAGTCTCAACGCTATTGGAGATGTGTAAAGGCCAAGCAGGCGAGCTCGCAGTTGGGAGAGAAATACTTAAATCTGGTAATAATAGCTCTTCAGTATATTTACTTGTAATTATAATTCAATTATATGTGAAGTGTTTTAAATTTAATACAGGATTTATCCAATATCAGTATGGCAAAGAAAACAGTATTTCTCTCAGCAGTTTGGCAGGGGCGTAATTTGGGTGTACAATGTGTATTTCTGTATGATATAGTTCTGATTTTTATTTAGATAAGTGAGACTATGAACAGATCTAATCCTTATTTTATCAACTTTTTGTTATAGGATCTATTGGTATTGGTGGTGTGGATTATGTCTTAAACTGTATTCTTGGAACCCAAACTGAATCTAGCAACTGGCAGGCGCTACTGGGGCGACTTTGTCTAATAGACAGACTTCTGTTGGAATTTCCTGGTGAATTTTATCCCCACATTGTCTGTGGAGATGTTTTACAGGCTGAAACTGTAGTAGACAGGTACTTGCTTACACTATGTGACTATTACTCTTCATAGTTGAATAATGTTGGTGATTTCTAAGAAAAAAAAAAAAAGTTGTTCTAATTCCTGTAAACAAGTAGTATATATTTATATGCATAATGTAAACGCACTTTTGGAGTAAATGATTGCCTTTTTTTAAATCTTCTGACCTGTGAATCACCAGTTCAGCAGTAAGTCTCCTTTCTACTGCAGAACTGACATCTAAATACATTATTTTGAAATGGCTTTCTTGGCACTATTTAACTAGAGCATATCAGTGTATAAAACACCTCTTTTCCTTTTTTTAGGTATAAGAAACTCCTCTCCCTCTTAACTTTCACCTTGCAGTCAATTGACAATTGCCACTCAATGGTTGGTAAACTATCACGGAGAGTATTTTTGAGTGCAGCAAGAATGGTGGCAAGAGTGCCCCATGTTTTTGTAAAGCTGTTAGAAATGTTGAGTGTGACAAGCTCAACTCATTGTGCAAGGATGCGTCGACGTCTAATGGCAATAGCAGATGAAATGGAAATTGCAGAAGCCATCCAGCTAGGCATGGAAGAAATGCACTCTGGAGAATGTCAACATGAAGACTTTTTGCAGCTCCCTGTACCAGATAACTCTCCAGAAACTACAGAAAGTAATACTCCTAACAATACTGTCCAGTTATCAGGGAAAAGTGGGAAAGGTTTAAGTGATAAAAAACTGAGTGCCAGTCCAGAGGACATTTCTGAAATGCTGGCTGGCCTTGCTGTGGGACTTCCTGTTTCATCAGTAACTACTGAACAACCAAAGCCAGCCATTCAAACAAAAGGAAAGCCCCACAGTCAGTGTTTGAACTCTTCTCCTTCATCCAGTCATTCCCAGTCACTATTCCCAATGCTTCTGTCTCCTTCAAACCCATCTGTACCAGCTGGCACTGTAACAGATGTCTCTAAACTCAGACCTCAGGGATTCGTTCCCTGCAAAATCCCTTCATCTTCTCCTCAAACACAGCGGAAACTTTCTCTCCAGTTTCATAGAAACTGTTCTGAAAATAAAGAACCAGAGAAACTTTCTCCAGTTTTTACCCAAGCCAGGCCATTGCCCTCCAGTCACATACATAGGCCAAAGCCATCACGACCCACCCCAAGTGAGGCGAACAAGCAGGGAGAAATCTTAAAAAACAGTATGACACTTGACCTGAATGATATTTCACAGTGTGATGGCAATAGTAGTAGTAGCAGTGCAGTTATACCAAGTGAAGAGACAGTGTTCACGCCAGTAGATGAAAAATGTCGATTGGATGTTAATGCAGAGCTCAATTCCAGTATTGAGGACCTACTTGAGGCCTCCATGCCAACAAGTGATGGCACAGTTACATTCAAGTCTGAAGTTGCAGTTCTTTCTCCTGAGCGGGCAGAAAATGATGATACTTACAAAGATGATGTAAATCATAATCAAAAATGCAAGGAAAAGATGGAAGCTGAAGAGGAGGAAGCTTTAGCTATTGCTATGGCAATGTCAGCGTCTCAAGATGCCCTGCCAATAATTCCCCAACTACAGGTTGAAAATGGTGAAGATATCATAATCATGCAGCAGGATGTAAGTATATATATGGGAATTTAGCATAAGTCTTAATTGAGGTTCACTGACTTTATAAAGCACTGCTGTTATATTTCCAAAGTTACATAAAACACAGAGGTACTCAGTACCCTCTCCTCAGAGTTGAAGTATAAGCAGTCTGCCAGTTGAGCATGCTAACAGAATCCTTCTATGGTTATTAACAAGTTTAGAGAAGGTAATTGGAAGAGAAATATCATGTCATGTACCAACCTTTAAAATGGCAGAGAAGGAAGTGTAAAAGTGGGGGAAACAGGACATGAGAACAAAGTTTTTAAGCAGGAGTAGAACTGTACTGACACTTAATGCTAATTTACTTTGAAGGCAATTGTAAGAAACCAAACTAGTTTCTGAAAGAGAAGGCAGAGTTGGAAGATATTTTGTCGTCACATCTTCTGAGAGATGCGAGATACTTGAGAAGTCGGAAAAAAGATATTTGTTTGCAAATAGACAAAAGCACAAGAAATAAGAATAGAGACAGGAGTATTTTAATTGTGATCTTTGGCATGAGGTAACAACATTTGAAACATAAAAGGAGAGAAATAAATTAAGTAGAAAGCATGATTTTGGTTGTGTTTACTGTAGGTGCTAACTAAAACCTTAACTAGATGTGAGATCAGGAATAGAAAAAAAGTCTTGCTCCTGTTTGTGTCCTTAAATCTTGCCTTTCATCTTCAGGTAGGAACATAGAGGAGGCTCTCTGTTCTTACCCACAGTAGGAATATGTGGGTGATGAAATATACTGGTGGTTCGGTCTCAGCTGAAACATGTATAACATGCAGTACAAAGAACTGTAAGGGAGAAGAGAGGCGTAAAGCTTGGATATTTCATAACCTTCCAGAATGTCTACATTTTAGATGCATGCTAGTAAACATGGAATTGATTTGGAATTTAATTTGCAGACACCAGAAACCCTGCCTGGACATACCAAAGCAAAACACCATTACAGAGAAGATGCAGAATGGCTTAAAGGTCAGCAAATTGGTCTTGGAGCTTTCTCTTCCTGTTACCAAGCTCAAGATGTAGGAACGGGGACATTAATGGCTGTAAAACAGGTAAATGCTTCAAATACTTCACTTTCTTGAGTATATTATGCTTGTTCTTCAATAATTCTTTGGAATATTAAATATAAAAGCTCTTGGCTCTCACAGACTTCTTGCGTTCCTTGCTTCCTCTGTTCCCTGTCATGTGTTCTCACGTAATACATAATAAAAACCCTTTATGTGCATGGTATTAACATAAGAAGTGAAAAAATTGAGAATATTAAAATGAAAAAAGTACTGTAGCTTTTTATACATCCATTTTCTTTCATAGTTCTTCAAATGCATTTTTACTTTTATCAAGTTCATAAATCAGTGACAGGGTTAGGAATGGAGCCCAGATCTCTTGATTCCAAATTGATGCCCTGTTTGCAAGGTAGCTATTAAAAGTAGTTTCCCCTTACTTGTCAAGACTTTTTTCCTAAAACAATTTAAGCAGAGGAAATACAGTTTAATGCTTGTCTCCTCTGATCCAACAGCCAACTTTGAGGCAAGTATTTTTAGTATTTGAATTAATAGATACAGAAGCGTGACTGAGAAAAGAGGCCCAAATGCACATGCTTCACTCAAGATTTTTGAAGGTTCTAGATGTGAGTAAATCTTTCACACTTAAAGTGCCCTAGGTCTGAATCATGATACCAACACAGAGAGAATATTCATCCTAACATTTTCTTACTAATTCTGGAATGAACTTATACCTATGGAATTGATCAATTTCAAAACATTTAATCAGGGGAAGAATATCTTCATCAGCTATTCCTCCCTTGAAACTCTTTTGCTTATGAAAGAGTAGAACTGTCCACATAGTCTTTGATCTTCCTCCTGAAGAGATGATGATGATTCTGATGCCCAAGAGACATTCTCTGCAGCATACCATTATTTCAGAATGTAGTATGGATCAGAGTTGGGTTGGTTCCAGTTCCATTACAGGACTTCTGATCTGCTTTTTTTCTTCCCCACATCAGATTTCTGGGATAAGATGTTTAGTTATGAAACAGATAGTATGGTTAAACTGGTAAAAATCTTATAAATAATAAATTGTCAGGATCACATTTCAGGCCTTATCTTTCCTTTTCTTCAACATCTGGAAAAAAAATTCCTAGTTTAAGCGGAGGAGAGTGAAGAGGGAAGTATCCCCATTCCACACTTGGAGAGATTTTTCCCTGGAAGATCACTCTCAATTTTCTGACTGTCTCACAAGGAGATATGTTCTCAGCTGAAGGGGCTTGAGATAAAAGATTACTTGCTATTTCCAGGTGGTGAAAAGGGATGGAAAATCATCCATTCTTGTTACTGTACTGAAGGCGGGGGGAGGGAGGTGGGGGGAGGTTTACAGGACTGGTAATTATGTACAGTAAATCTGACTACCATATTTCAAAACAGGTGACATATGTCAGGAACACATCATCTGAGCAAGAAGAGGTAGTTGAAGCACTGAGAGAAGAAATAAGGATGATGAGTCATCTGAACCATCCTAACATTATTCGAATGTTGGGTGCTACATGTGAGAAGAGCAACTATAACCTCTTTATTGAATGGATGGCAGGTAAACAACTACTATACCAAAGAAAATGAAAATAGCAGTTGAGTCTGGAACTATGTAGGTTCATACTGCATTTTGCATCACTGCAGTTTACAAATTTGGATTTTCATTGCTGGTGGTAACCAGTACAAAGGCCTACTTACAGAACAGTTCAAGTGGTCGTAGCAATATTCTTTCTGGTGCATCCTTTCTTGATTTGGAATTTTCTGTACTTAATCTGTCATACAGTTAAAGCAGTTGGAAGCCCTGAACAAAAATTCTACTACTTTTTCCTCCATTTCTGAACCTAACAGAGGAGATGGAAACTTTGAGAGACAGGCACTTCAGTTGGAAATACATTAAACTGTTGCATTTTCAGCGTACCTGTGTAAATTTATTATTAAAAATAACTGTGCTAGGAAGTTTGGAATACTTGTAACTTGTCTTTGTCCCATGCATTTTCATAAAAATTGCATCAGGTGACATGCAAAGATATTTAAGAACTTAGAGTAAACTTCTAATAATAGGTAGTAAGCAGGATGCTTTGGGAAAAAGATGTTCAAATCTTAAATATATTTAAGTGGTAATTTAGTAATAAATAGTGAAATCTTTTCATTATTATACAGAGTAGGGAAAAGAAAGTCTATATACTTTTTTTAAGGAGATTAATAAATCTTATGAATGGATTGTATGTTGTTGCTGTCCAGTTATCATGACTAGATTTGGTGTTTTATATGTCCTTATTTCTTACGAAAGAAAGCATTGCACTTACGTTCTTTGGCAGAAACCACTTAGCACTACCAGAATACTAACAAACAAAGCCCAAGTATGTGTTATTACAAGCAGTAGTGCAGAAAATATTTTCTTAAAACTAAGGGTGTTTAACTTTTTTAAAATACAATTTTTCTGAAATAATATTTAGATAACAAAATGTCAGGAATTATTTACCTCATTCAAGCCCAAGTTATATTAGAATACTTTGAGAGGCACAATGGAAATATATAGATTCTCAAGATTTTGTATCAATTTTGGAAAATAGAGGAAGGTACTGCTTTTCCTTACTTCTCTACTTCTATATATTGGTACTTGGATGGTAACAAAAGTAAATTAAGATCCTCAGAGAGAACGCTTACTGGAGGCTGCACGTATTGATTGCCCCAAAGAAAGCTAGTGTTCTTCTTAAACGTTAATGCAAAACGTGGATAAATGTGTAGGTTTTTTATCAGCCACAGTACTTTGTATACAAAGGGATTTGTACATTCTTTTAAGGAAGTATAGAATTATTAAGAAGCATGAAGGTTTATGTCTAATGTGTACAGTTCTAGGTAGGAAGTAATTAAGTAACCAAATATATTACTTTTTGCCTATGAAACTTTTTAATGTGTTTTTTGGGGGGAAGAAATCTAGTTATAAATTAGGAATACCAGTAACAAATTCCAATTTTAGGAGGCAGTGCTGTATTCTAGTAATACAAAATATGTGTTGATAAAATGCATTATTTTTTTGTCTTCTAGGAGGTTCAGTTGCTCATTTGTTAAGTAAATATGGAGCCTTCAAAGAATCAGTTATTATTAATTACACAGAACAACTGTTACGTGGCCTTTCTTACCTCCATGAGAATCAGATAATCCATAGAGATGTTAAAGGTGAGAATTATTTAGAATGTCTTTTAAAAAGGAATATTCAGAAAGCAGCATCTATTTCAGCTTGAGACCTATTGCTTTTCTCAGATACCATCTCAGGATTGGTATTTCTATTGGGTTTGTCTAATCATTTTTAAGAACCTTTAGTTACTGAAATTAATCAGAATGTTCATAGCATGCTTGGGGATATTTGCTACCTGTGCTGATAATTTAGAAAAATTGATTTTCTGAGTTTGTTCAAATAACATATGAAGTTGCTGTGTAGCTTTAAAGATTGCTAGTTAAATTAAATGTTTACACTGAAATAATAATAAAATTTGTGTTTTCTTCCTTCATCCTAATTGACCATACAGTTGTACTGTGTTTGATCAAAATATTGACTTTACTGGGAAATACCAGTCTTACTAACCTTTTCACTTTAATGTGACTATAACTGTCCATGAACTGAAGAGATATCCAGATAAGTAGCAACACAGTGATGGCAAATATTTGTCTTTTAATATTTCTCCTTAAAATAGGAAAACTTTCAATTGTTCTGTAATTCTCTTCAAGGCAACTCAAAGTTGCTGAAGGATGAAATAAGTTCACAGGGAATTCACAGGGAGCTGCAGGCAATAAAAACCTCCGGGGTTTTAGGTTACCATTTTCTTTCATTATTCTGTCTCCAGGCATTGTTCCAGAATCCTGTGTTTGCCCTACTTTGTCTAGTTTGATTGCTTCTTTAAATCTGTCGGATAGCCTCAGGCTGTGTGCAGTGTCATTCAGGCATAACAGAAAAGTGACATTATTAGACTTTGTCCTTGACTTTTACATTTTCTTGATATTGGGGGTGGGGAAGGTCAACCCATTTATAGTTTTGAAATGGAGGGAGGAAGAGTGTGTATTCATCCTTTTGCCTTTAATAGAAAGCCAACTAGCAGTATTTTTATTATGCTGTTGACAGGTGCCAATTTGCTAATTGACAGCACAGGTCATAGATTAAGAATTGCTGATTTTGGAGCTGCAGCCAGGTTGGCATCCAAAGGAACTGGTGCTGGGGAGTTTCAGGGACAGTTGTTGGGAACTATTGCATTTATGGCACCGGAGGTAAGAAACCAGTTTTGGAAGTTACTTCAAAAGGTTTGTTTGAACTCTTTAAGCTAATTCATATAGACAACTAAAAGAAAATTGCTGTAAATGCTTCAAATGTGTTTTAAGTGTACTTGTTCTAAAGAACAGGAGTGATTCCAACATAGCAATAATGACATTTCATTCTTGCTGTCAAAATTGTTTTAAGTAGTTTGTTATATCTATTATAAGTATTGTTACTAAAGCCCAAATGACCATTTGGTCAAAAGCTAACTATTGCAAGGTACTTTGCTTTGCCCCTTGATCAGGCATTTTATTTAGTAGTTCTACAGCTGTATAAATCTTACGGCACTTTCATCACTGATTATTCTCTCGACTTGAAATGTTCCTCAGAATGCACTTAGTTGATTATTTTTTTTTTAAAATCTAAATTACTTAGAGTTAAGAGACTTTAAAGTGGATAATCTGAACTTTGGTCTGTCTAGGTTCTGAGAGGTCAGCAATATGGTAGGAGCTGTGATGTGTGGAGCGTTGGCTGTGTTGTTATAGAAATGGCTTGTGCTAAACCTCCCTGGAATGCAGAGAAGCACTCCAATCATCTTGCTCTGATATTTAAGGTGAGGTATTTTGTTGCTACAAATATGCTACAAAAGATGCTGACTAATTTCATATACAGTGATGTAAATTTTAGACAAGTATACAAGTAGTAGGAATTGTTGCTCTTCTTTGTATTGGAGCTGTTACTACAAAATCAATACATGATATCAACATAATCATACTTGCTTGTTAAAAAAAAGGTACCAATACAATAATATGCAAAAAAGCTCTGTTCTAAGATACAAATACTTAGTGTAACAGGCTAAAAAAAAATTTGGAAATAGAGTTGATCTGGGCTTTAAGCAGAAGATAGGGATTTAAACTTTCTTACACTACTGTAAAATACAGGAGTAAAAGTAGTATTTCTACCATAAATCATTTGTGTGTATTAATATTTCATAGCAGGGAATGTCCTTTGGTAAAAACTTGATGTTCCACACACATTTTGCTGAAAGATATCTATGATTGTGCCATGCTATATATAAATACTGCCCCTCCCTTTTCTAGGCCATCCATTTTGGCATTCATGTTTCTTACTCAAATCAGTTAGGTATATTTTAATTCTAAAAGTCTAGTTCAACTGTAGGCATGAAAGAAGAAAATACTGCCACAAGTGAAGAAAGGGATTAACATCTTCACTAGCATGAGTGAAGAAAATGTTTCCACAAAACAGAACTAGCACAGCAGTATCTAAATATGCTCTAATTAAGTACAAACCCCTTGTGATAAAAGATGTAATTGTCTTGGTTCTGTGTGTGTGAATGTGGGGGTGCCACCCCTAGTGTTCACCATCATCTTGCTTAATTTGATCTAGATAAGATAAAAATTAATTTGGTTGGGAGTGATCTGTATCTATCTGAGAAAGATTGCCCTTTGGGGTGGTAGCAGAAATACAGCACAGACAATGCAAGAGAGGATATCCAGCCTAACATATCATAATGTAACATCACTCAGCTTAATATATCTGTATGTTGGCTTATGCCAGTTAACAGCAATGACAACTAGTAGACTAAGGAATACCCCATATGTATGGCATAAGAGTTTTTCTTACAGCCTGCTTAGCAGATGGTTGCTCCAGAATCTTGCTGTACGAAGAAAATTTAGAGAAAAGTGCAAGGAGAGAGGCAGAATGTGAAAGGCAATAGAACTGATGTTATGAAGGAAAGAGGCATAAGGACAACTTTAAGACCCATATTATAAAATGGAAGCAGTAATGTAATCTTCAAACTGCAGTAGGAAATATGCTAAGTGGATAAAAGCTCATAAATGTAACCTGTCAGCTGAAAATTATCAGCTTGTGGAAGGTGTTTGGAGTAGGAGAGGAGGCTTAAGTATCACAGACTTATAAAAGGTTATTTTCTGTTTGTTCAGATTGCTAGCGCAACTACTGCTCCATCAATCCCTACACATCTGTCTCCTGGCTTGAAAGATGTGACTCTTCGGTGTTTAGAACTTCAGCCTCAGGACAGACCCCCATCGAGGGAACTGCTGAAGCACCCAGTCTTCCGTACTACATGGTAGCTACATATGTATAAGGCTGATTACTGAAGAAGCTTCTGCTGAATATACAATTAACTGTCTCGCAGTGCAGTTAAGCACAGCAAGTTGTATTATTCTGCTGGCCTTAATGACAGATACATCCAGGACTTAAGGCCAGTGGAGGACTCTACCTAAGTATGTGACTGACAAATCGAGATCTTTACCTAAGCTCAGTATGCAATATTTCACAACTTGAGCAGAGATTTCTAAACTGTGCCTTTTCAAACATCTGGCTCTACGTGAACTCAAAAAGCATTTTTCCTTAAATCTGCATGATTATTTAGCAGATAAGTGATTTTTATTTTCTTTGGAGCACTTTTTCAGCAATATTAGCAGCTGAGGGGCTCAGGATGTGTTTTACTATAACAATCACTGTTCCATTTCACATCACGTAGATGTAAGCAGAGGGTTCTGCAATTAGTCAGTTTTCAGCACTGTTTAAAAGGAAGTTCTGTATCTGTCCCTTTTAATTACACAGAGCTCTGAGTACCAAATCCAAATGTTGATGGATACTTTAAGAAAAAAAACATTTTGCCTTCCTTAAATTAAGAGCAGGCAGTTGTGGTTCACGTGCATTTACTGCTGGCTATGTAATTTCTTTTGAAATTAAAGTTTGTTTTCATTGTATCTTTAACTTTCAGGGAAAGGTGATCTTTTAAAATAGTCTTTAGAAAAAGATGCAAACCGTGTCATGGAACACCTTGCTGACACAATTTTAAAAACAGATTTGCTGGAAATCTAGAATAAAATAGAATGCCACCTTTAATGGGGCAGTGTTGAAGGCTCTGATAGTATAGGTTATTTAAAAAATGAAACAGAAAAAAAACCAAGATTGTTCTGCATAAAACAACTGAGTCTGAATCACACTAAAAGTTGCTGAGCCTTCTTTTCATATAGCAGTTCTTCTGGCAAATCATGTAGATTTACATGTATTTCATGTAAAAGGGCCCAAACCCAGCTCCCACTAAAGTTTACGGGAGACTGTATCCTGTACTTCAGTGGAAGCAGGTGCTGGCTATGAGCAATTCTCATTCTTTATGTAACAAAACTGAGGTGACATTCTCTACTGATAACAAGTTTTACCTGCTGTTTTCCTTCTGCCGTACATCATCTATTTACTGTAGCCATTAGTGATAATTTAATTTGAAAATGTTAAAAATATTACCGTAAGAAAGGTATTTATTCTAACAAGAAACAAACTTGGACTTGAAAAGCAAGATAAAGTAAAATGTGAAGTAAAGCTTCACCTGTAGTGCAAAACTTGTGTTTTTAGCAGGTGTGTGTTTTTTTTTTAAAAACAGGTTTTTAAAATAATTTTAAAAGCAGGTTTTTTAGATTCTGATGCATGTAATTCTGAAGGAAAATGGCAGCTTTTCTTTTGCTTTTTTTTTGAAGGGGGATCTTTTTAAATCAAATACTGATTGTGTTTAATCCGTTTGGAAAAAATACTGTTCATGTTTTAACTCTTCAGAAGTCAGTTGGATTGTTGGACTGAAATGGAATGGGTTATTTTCAAAGACTCAGGACAAACTGAATAAGCTATAGTACATTAAAAACGTACAACACAAATTGGAAGTAAAACATCTTAAAGATAAGTTTACAAGAATGATAGTGCTCATGCTAATAAAAAAAGCAGTGTCATTAGTTGTGAATGTGTTTCTTTTGGAAATTTTACATTCCTTTGTTTTGGAAGATTGGCAGACTTTGAAGAGTTAAAAAGATAATACCGAAATGTGAAGTTTGGTAGCTCTAACTGTTTTGTACTTGACTTTTTTTTGACCACTTTAGAATTTCTCATTCTAATAAGATTGTTTCCAAGTCTTTCTTATGTGCAAGCTTTAAAGGATGCACTCTTGCCAATTCATGTACTGGAAGATCAGTTGTCAGATTAATACTGTTTCTGGCAGAAATGTAAACTGTATAGACTGATGAACCTCAGCTAATCAGTATTACTTTGTAGATCACCATGCCTACCACATTTCAAACTCAAACTGCCTCTAGATGTCCAAATGCATTTGTTTGAGTTTGTTTGCATTTCCCTCAGCTTGCTGGTAATTGTGGTGTTTTTAAAATGCAGATGTGATGTAATATTCTTATTTTCTTTGGATCAAAGCTGGACTGAAAATTGTATTGTGTAATTATTTTTTTTGTGTTCTTAATGTTATTTGGTACTTAAGTTGTAAATAACGTCTACTGCTGTTTATTCCAGTTTCTACTACCTCAGGTGTCCTATAGAGTTTCTTCTACCAAAGTTCACTTTCACAATGAAATTATATTTGCTATGTGACTGATTCCTAAGACTTCCAGGGCTTAAGGGCTAACTTCTATTAGCACCTTACTGTGCAAGCAAATTTTACAGAAATCTCTGGGTTAAGAAATTTGGCTTCATTGTATCCTTTGTTATTTTAAATATATCAAGATATTTTAATTAAAAGTTTTTACCCCATTGAACCAATTTTATATAGTATAATTTGTACCTATTTCGGTGGGTTTTGTCTTTATAGTAAATAAAAGTTTTTGGACAAATTTTGCCCTTTGTTTATTGTAATGTAAACACATTTAGTTTACCAATGCGAATAAAATATTTCTGGTACACTTACTGTTCAGACACAATTTCATATGCAACACTCGATATATCAAGACTTAGTTTCTAATATTAAATGACATGTATGAGTGAGTATTGGCTGATATATGTATATCTTAGGTGTATCAATAAAGAAAGTTTAGATAAAGGGCAGCAACAAACACTAAATTTTTTAAATCGATAATAAAGGTAGGAAATTGTCTCTAGGACAACAGTGTATCTATGAGCCTCATCTGCTTATGCCCCAGATCAAACATTAAATATCTAAATTTTGCATCACTGTAAATGTAACTATTAATTACCAAGTCAGGTGAGCTGATATGGTTAGATCAGATTGAGGTGTATCCTGGAAGTTAATATGCTATTTTGTTTTCAGTGAAATGATTCTGTTGCTTGTGATTTAAGTAGCAAACAATCATTCCCATATTCAGGCAATCTGAATATGTATTGCAAAGCTAGGTCTTGTTTCAGTTGCTTGTCTCTCCTGATTTTTTGATATTTTTAAAATTTCTAAATTTTAAAAATAGTTGAAAACCAGTGTTCTGTAGCCTTTTTTGTGACTACTAAATTCTACATTTTGAAGAATCATTCTCTTTATAGTTGCTATTACTTATGTGACTTCTGCAAATAGACATAAACACATCAACTCACCAGCAAAAACGGGCAGCATAAATCTTCAGATAAAGTCTAATATCTGATTTTTTCAAATCAGAAAAATGTATTAATTGTCATATATTTTCCTTCTTGATGTTTCAAGGACTAAATAGAAGATAAATTGAATGTAATGCACCTTCCTTTATTTAATTCACTATAGAACTCCTGAATCTTACTGTGGTACTACTCTGTGGTAGTTGTGATGTTGCAGTCTCCTTTTTAGGAACAAGGGATGGTGGAGATCACCTGTCCCCAGCAGTTGGCAGTAAATGTCAAAGATACCTGCTTACCAAAATGTCTTCATTTGCAAAGGACACGTTCAGTTCTTTGGCAGGCAAATAGTAAGCTATTCCCATTTTTTTTTCTCTGGTGGGAGTAATGTACATTCTGCATTCTACGTGACGGTCATTAGTTGAAGTAGGACAGTGTCTCATCTTTGCAAATTCTCATTGAAAGGTAATGATTGCTTCCAGAACATGTTGGAGTGTCATAAATATCATGTATTTCTGAGTGAGCAACTTGTATGTGTGGCTGTTCTGATCTGACTGTGTCCACCTCCCAAGTCACCATGTTTCCCTTTGCCAACTTTTTTCTCAGTGCATACTCTTCCTTGCTGAGCTGAATCATGAATGTGACAGTCTTGCTTTTAAAACCCACAATATGCATATACTGTGGCAAACGTGCATGTTGTTTTCTTGTTATGGCACCCAGCTGCCAATACCCAGAATTGAAGTTGTGGATTGAGACCTTTCTTCCCTGTCATTACCGAGAATGTCCAGGAGATGGCAGGAAAGCATTCTGAGGCATCTGCTGTGACACTTTATTTCCCTCAGTTTGCAATATATCATCACTCAGTCCACATCAGAAAAGATGTGCAAGGCTAACAATAGAATTTAAGTGAATAGGGAGTAAATCAAGAGGCACTTTATAAACATTTTTAAAGCTCTGAGATGAGAAGTTAATTCTGCTTTTTTCATTGCTGTGGTGTGCCTGCCTCACAAAATCCCAAACTGTTGGCAAAAGTTCAGGTCTGGACATAGGAGTATAAGCCTTGACAGTGGTTTGAGGTTTGGTTTCTCTGTTCACCCGCAAACCAATTCTCAAACACTAGCTCCATGTGATTGTTTTTAAACTAGTTTCCTATAAAAGTACGATATATGTTGTGGTTCTGTCTCAATTTTTCCCAATAAATTTTGACTTCATTGGCAGACTTTAACTAAAACTGCAGATAAGGAACACCATCCAAAGATACAAGTTTTATGAAAGTAGGTACCCAAGCAGAGAAGGAAGAACAGTGGCTAAGGAGATAGCATTACCCTTAATGATTTATAAAGAATGATTTGGAGGCCTTTGTTAATTTTTGAAGATCAATTGTTGAGTGATTGTTTTCTTCACTAGATTTTTGGGATTTTTTTTACAGATGATAGTAGAATGCAGCACCAAAAGAGCTTTAGCCCATACCTCATGTGCACTTGAGTTGTAAGTGCTCATGATTTGTAATATATCCCTTCTGCCCAGCTTGTTAGGCTTGCTGTAAATGCTGCAGACTACTTCACACCCGTGTGCAGGCTGCACCTTTCGAGCTGCAGTCAGTTACAATGCTACAAAGCACAATTCATGTCTCCTTGTCACCAGGGCCAAATACTAGTCAAAAGTGCGGGCAGAAATGCTCTGGACCATTAACCCACTCCTTTTATGAAGTGGCTTGTCTGAGGCACTACCAGTCTTCAGTGTCAGTAGAGGTAGATACCATGTAATTTTGGAAAAGTGATCTGATAGTGCTGGGATTGCCCCTGGATCAGAAATATCAAGGAGGTGGGGTTCAACTGCTTCTAGATAATTTTACAATCTCCTTTTGGTATCAGATCTTACCATTTTGGATTGTTCAATAAAACAGAGAAAGGGCATGTAACATTATTTAGAAATCTGTGTGTATTTGCACCCATGGGATGTGAGTTTTGTTTTCCAGTGGCTGCAGCTCTCCCTTCTTTGGTGCAAATATACCATGCTTTTATATTCTCTCTGGTTAACGAGCTCTTCATAGAGCCGTTGAAGTACAGGGACTCCCAGCTCCACTTGAGCCCAAATTCATCCACGAACAACTCCGTGTTGGCTTTAAAACCTTCCTCCTCCTCCTTGCGAGCTGCTTCCTCCCCTCAGCGCTGTGAAGGCTGCTGCCCCTCCCGCTGCAAATCGCGCTGCGACCACCCGGGCTCCGCCCCCTGGCAGTGACAAGATGGCGCCTCAGACGCCGGGTTGGCAGCTCAGTACGCGAACACGGCCCCGCGAGCGCAGCGGGGATTGGCTGGGCCGGCTGCGCGGGCGCGGCTTGAGAGCGAG